CAGTAACAAAAGAAAAGCCCATAGACATTTTTTTTAGAAACACAATCCCTAATACACCAGAAGATATAAGAAATCAACGAGAGGAAATAATACAAAAAATTCAAAAGAAACAACTTTATGACTTAGAATACCACAACAAAAACAAGAACCTACCAAAACATTTCAGGCCAGGCGAAATAGTACACGTTAAAATCGACAAAAGATTAGGGTCAAAACTAACACCTAGGTATAAAAAAGAAAAAGTAGCAGAAAATAAAAACACCACCATTACTTACTTCATCTCACCCGCTTCAACCATATCTGTCGTACGAACTAAAACAAATCAAATCCGACTTACGCAGATTGCAAACACAAAAAAGACCAAAAAGAGCAATAGAAGCAATAGGGACAGCATGGAAGTGGCTGGCAGGATCACCAGATCACCATGATTATGAGGTCGTAGAAAATAAGATAAATGAACAGCTAGAAAATAATAACAGACAAGTAGTAATAAACCGGCTAATTAACGAAAAAATAAATCAACTCAGTAATGCCACAAATGCAATTATAAAATTTACTCAAAGCTCGGAAGGAATAATAGACCAAAAAGCCAATATTTTAAAATACAAAATACAACTAATTAAAGAAGAAATTACAAACATTCTGTACGCAATAACTTGGGCAAAATCTAACACAGTGAATTCATTCATTTTCTCAGCAAAAGAAACCAACATTGTAGAAAACATTTTTAAAGAAGAAAACAGTTTATTTTTCGACATAGAAGAACTTTTAGAATTTGCTAAAGTCAAACTTGCCACCAACGGCCACGAACTCATTTACATTATTAGCCTACCAACAATTAATAAAGATACTTGCAGAACATTAAAAGTAAAAGCACTAAAAAAAGCCCATATAATTAACGATCTAAAATATGAAAATCTACTAGAATGTAAGAAACAGCTATTCGCAATAACAGAACCTTGCGAGGCACATAACGATAAAACTATTTGTAATTCCGAAAAATTGCTAGACTTAAGTAACGATACTTGCGTAAACGCTCTGCTCAACCTTAAGGAACCAGTATGCAAAAGGGTCAACAATCAACACATTCCCGATGTCGAGGAAATATTGCCAGGAACTCTACTGCTGAACGACTTTAGCGGACTTGTATCGTTGGACGAAAAGCTCTTAAAACTACAGGGCTCATTTATAATTCAATACAGGAACTCTACAGTAACAATTGGAGAAAACATCTACAAGTCAAAAGAAACCAACACGGTCGAACCGGAACCTTCACTTTTTCAATTAACAGCGGAAAAGTCGAAAATAGATTAAGTACTGTCACTACAAATGGTCAAGGAACTTAACATAAACAACACAAGAGTACTAGAGAAACTCAGAAGCGAAGGAATTATAGATTCTTCCCTGAATTATGGATACGCCATCATCCTATTTGTAGTTACCCTAGGACTGATCATACGATTCATGCGAAGGCGCAAACCAACAGAAGGCTTGCCAGCTCCAGCAAAAACAACTGAAGAGCCATCCCCTTTCGGATCTGTACTCTTTTACGTTGCGACCGAGGACAGTCGCGTTTAAGGGGGGAGGAGTTAACACCTAGAATGCTAAATGCTCAAGTAAGAGTATCGCCACACGCGCAAAATCCCAAACAAAAACAAATTGGTTATAAGCGCGAGAAAAGCATAGGCACCAATTTCCCAACAGTAACCCTATACTGGCCAGAACGTTGCCCAATAGGCCCCCAATTGAGTTCAGCAGCCACGTGCGCTGAGCTTGCACTTCCCACCTTACGATCGTGGGAAAGCTACAACGCTGGGTGATTGAACCCAACGCCGAGTGCATTTGGCAACAACAATTATTGCCAAATTAAGTTGACCAATCAGAATAAGAAATGGTCAACTGCACCGCGGCAGCAGCAATATCAGCAACAGCAACCAATTAGGACCGACCACATCAACAACAGCAGCGATGTTCAATGACGATAGCAGAGAACGTCAGCAGAGGCAGCAGCAGCAGCGGCAGAAACGGCAGCAGCACCTAGGCTACATTATTAATTATTAACATAAGAAAAGTTAGTTGTAAATCTGAACTCAAATAATAAAGTTTGTATTGTTTTTAAATAAAATACTATCTAAACTTTTAACTTATGGTTATGTGGGCGGCAGACAGATTTAAGCGTTAAGCGCGGGCGTGGCAAACTTTTTTTTTGGGTCAATCGATAAGTATTGACGAGCCCAATTAAAATGTTGTTTCTAGTATGAAAATTGTGGGCGCCACAGGTTTGGGCTGCTAGTGGACGTTACTTGGGGCTTCCGGGGGAATATGTGGTTTATATATAGTATATATATATAGTAAAATGTTTGTTATTTGAATGAGTCGAACTAATGTCCCGTCAGTTGATTAAGGACAACGGTTCTTGATTATTTTTTGCTTGTTTTCAAAATTTTGTATATAAAATGGTAAGTGAATTTAGTGTAAAAAATTTTGGTAGGACAAGAAAAATAATAAGAACAATAACTGCAATTATTACGTTAAGTGTGGTATTATTTTCTGAAATTAGTTTAAAACGTTATTGTCTTCCACCATTTTTATCTTAGTTACATTAATCGGTGAATACAATGGTGTTAAATAAAATTCTGCACTTAACGAAATTTCGCCTAAAATAATATTTGTAATTTTAACGCTACATTGTTTTATTCTAATTGTTTTGTTTCCATTTATTTTATATCTCCATTTAATTTTGTGAGATTGTAGTTTCAGTTAGATTCCATGTAAGTTTAATATTTGTTTCAACTTTGAATCATTTCTTTTAAGAGAGTTGGTATAAAATTACAAGTTGGGTTCTTGCGCTTAATTATATTTTTAATACATTCATTATTAGCTTCTTTATTGTCTTGATTATAAATTTTATTCTCATCTTCAAAATATATTTGTTGAACTGAATAGTGTAACTGATACCCATTACGGTCGGAATAAGGAAGTATTTTATGGTGTTAATGACTTTGTGATTAATATGGAAATGTGATATAAGTCGTAATTCGTTATTTTTGTGGTCAATCCAAGATTATGTTTTGATTAAAATTATATTTTGACTGTAAGTGCCTTCTAGTTTATCGAATTTCAGTAACTTTGGGTTAAAAAGTTTAAGTCGGGAAAGTTTCATGCCCATTTCTATGTCTACAATGTACTCAATAAATTGCATGAGTTCATAAACAAGTGTGTCAACACTATTGCGGTTATTTTCGTAGTTAATAACCTTATAACGTCATTTAATTTATGAAGTTCAATTGAATTTTCAGCAATTAGATCTATTTTTTGTTAATTTTTTCTCTATCACTTTTATCAAGTGTGCCAAAAAGAAATTTAAAGGATGAAACTAGTATGTCAAATAGTCCACATTTCTGCCTATTTTGCTGATAAATAGTTATACCATTTAATTCTTTCAGTAGATTATTGTACAAATATTTCATTCCGCGCGAGTCTCTGATTTTTTCATTTATTGTCTTATGTAGTCTTTCGACGTCTGCTACGCCGTTTTTTACCGTATTTCGTATTCTGGCAACAGATAAAAATCTATTTTAAGTCCTATCTTGGTGTATGCAAGGATGTTTTTTAGGTTAGCAAGTTAGGCACATGTGTTTTTCTACAGAAATCTGGAATAGATATCCGATGTTTAGCGTGCACTGCAGAGAAACCCATAGAATGCATGAATTGCCTAATTGAACTATTAAACCAAAGGGAAAATACCTTTGTTGTAGCTAAAATTAACTTAAATATGAAAAAGAAAAACGTTTTCAAAGTTCGTTGAAAGCTAAGAATTAAAACAAATTAATATATGTTGTGAACAACGTGTATGCACGCGTTTGGCGTCAATTTACGGTGGTGTGTGCATAAGTTACATATGCACACATAGAGACAACGAAATCTCCCAGTCGTAAGTTCGGTAACGTATTCAAAAAAACGGCACAAAACGTTAGTTTATCGAGCCAAATTTGCGTGCTAGTTGCAGTTCATTGCGGGCCGTCTATATGTGTTTCAATAAAGTGCATCCAGATACATACTGAAACAAAAATTTGTGAACGCATTCCGAAAAAAATAGTTCAAAAACTCATTTTTTTACCTAAAGAGAAAAGTATGATAATTTTCCAAGGCAAGAGTGCGTGCTTAGAGCATTGCATTGCGATGGTGTCCAGATGTGTTTAAAAATGATCAGTCCTGATTCATTTTGCTGAGAATATAAATAACAAAAATTAAGCCCGAAGATTGCCAATGGTCGTTTCTTAAAATTTCTTTTTTTGGTACTGTTCTCTTGATAAACAAATAATAGAGACAAAAGGGTACATGCAAGGAAGCGCGTGGTTTTTCTTGTCCCTTGCATTTCTCGTCAGTTGCTTTTTAAATCTTAAAAGTGATGTTCATGCCACGTGTTTTGAAAAATGTTTTTGCTTTATGCCCCCAATTTTACACCATTATTTTTACAGTTAAGTTAGGTGTTGACATACAATATTTACTGAACTGCACGCGAAACACACACAAGTTCAAGATACCTACAACATTGTACAAGTTTAAAAGTTGTAGTGTTTTTTTTGGTGACAGCTCCGCATTAAGGCAGTTTATGAGGGTTTTATTTCTGACCAATCACGAGTGGAAACTGTTTTTACAAGCTCCGGCTTAAATTAGGTCACTAGCTAAAATTATTAAATTTGAGAAAACTGGTAATGGTTAAGCATTTTTTCACCCGTTACTTGAAGAGTAAAAGGATGTATTCGTACTAGATTCGACGGAAAGCATGTAACAGGTAAAATAAATCGTTTTCGACCCCTCAATGTATTTATATTCTTGATCAGGATCATTAACTGTGTTATGAACTGCTTTTTGTCGGTGGCAGTGCCGCTAGCTCAGTCGTTCCTCAGGGCAGAGTACCCCTAATGCCACAGCTCGCAACATAAAATCGATAACTTCACGGTCTCACATTACTAAACTATCGGTCATCACTAAGACCAAAAACAAAAACATAAACAAAGCAAAAATTTACAAATATTGACGGGAAAATGGATTACATTTGGTGGCTATCGGTGACCTAGCCAAGCGCTCCCACCCAACCATGGGTGCCCTCGAGATGCTGCAGGGCACCACCCATTCTCTGTCGGCAGGAGCCCCCTCCTCGCGACTACGGCGGTTCCATCTCCCCCACTGGGAAAGATTACTCACACATCGTGTGTATTACAAAGGTTTTAATAAATATGGTAAGTACAATCGTTCATATACATTCTCCTCTTAATAGATTTATCCTTCCTCAGCCTCTAAGACCGAAACCTGGCCGCCGTCTCAGATATTTACGCGGTCAAAGCAGAGGATTCGTTTTCCTGGAAAAGGGTACAGGCGCCGCGGAAACTATGCTCTACCAGCCATGTATTGGTAGAGCTCGCAGGGAAACGCGGGCCTCAAGGGAACAGGCGCGATGCGCGTGTATATGGTCACCTAATCCTGAGGAGCTCCAGGGGAAAAGAAGGGACAGGCCAAAAAGGTACGTAACTGCACTGTAAACTATACCATTTAACTAATGCTCGCGACCTTTTTAATTTTAGGCAAACAACGAGGACAAATAAGGCTCTCGGGTCTAACTCCGGATAAACTCACAAACAGGTAAGTAGATATCACTATATATAATCGAGGTACACGTGTATTTAATTTCTGCTAATTTTCAGCCACTGTTGGGCCGGGCCTGGAGGCGATGATAGCCCGGGCGGAAGGCTTCTCGCCGGAGGCCAGCAGTGATCCGGATCTCCACACAGGAAAAAGGCGCTCTCCGGTGAGTTATGCAATGACAGTCCGAGATTCGGCTGCCAGACAAATGGCGATTCTTCTCAGAGCCGCAATGCGACCGCTGGAAGTTCCCGAGAGGAGGATGACGCGGTATTCCGGAACGGACTCACCGGGAAATGTGGACGTCGTCGTCGACTGGGAAAGGCCCTTCTTGCTGGTCGCTGATACGGGTCGAACGGACACCGTTTGCTGTGCCGCCAATTCGGGCTGGCAGGTATGTCGAAGTCGCGCAGATGTCAGCAGATCTCCAATTAAATTCTTCCGGGGCCCTTTGTATTGGGACCCCGGCTGCCTTTATAAATGATAAATATTAAATCCCGAACTACTATAGAACTTTCACATAACTCACTTTTTAATTTAAGGCACAAAGAAAATTTTTACTAGCACTCCTAGCTGCATCTGCCTTGATTGCTGGACAGTATGGCCGCGACTATCACGCTATCTGCTGATCATCGCCCCCCCGCCATATTACATGGCCTCTCTCGTCATTGGGTCATTGGATACATGGGCCATTTGAAGTAATCCCAGAGCGAACCGGGATTAATCTTCAAATGGCCAGATCGCCCGCCAGACTCATCCCGCTGCTGCAGCTATCGCCCTATCGACCTAAACTATCGATAACGTCGCTCCCACTCGACTCCAATTGCAACATCAACCAAAGATTTCGAGGGGCGCTGCCCGGAGTTTCAGCAGAACGATGAAATAATTGGTAGCTTTGGAGATACGATGGGATTCAACACGGCACTGATACCATCCTGCAGTTCGTTCGGCGCCTAACGCGGGGCCCACGCATGACGAGAAGTATTGCAGATGTGATCGCGATGCTCGTATACTTTGTTTTGTCCTTCTTTCAGGTCACAACCGGATGTCTTTGGCGTGATACACTCCCAGACTGCGGCCTTGGAGATCTTCCAGCAGGTATGCATTGCTGCCGACGGATTTGACCACCCTGGCTTTAAGGAACTTGCGAGCAAACTTGGCGTTAAAAGATTTGCTGAAATCACTCAGCACGAAGTTGCGGCGGAAGACTTCTTGGCCTGGCTTGGCGAGCAGAGTACGGGCTCGCTTATCGTAGCGCTGCCGGCTCGTCTGGTATGCACCCTCCAGTTGCTTCTGCACCTTGGCGTGGATAACCCGAAGTTTGTCCTTGGTCTGCATTCCGGCCATTTCATGGTCAACCAGAGACCTGAGTCGTCTGGCTAGTTTGTAGCTGGACCCGTTGAGGAACATATGATGGCCGAATACAGTGAAGAACGGCGCTTCCCCTGTGGCTGAGTGGACAGTGTTTCGGATGGCCACCTCAATCTCCGGCAAATGTGCGTCCCATTCCCGGTGATCTTCGTCCAAGAAGCTGCGAATTGCGGCCAAGACGTTTCGGTTTACCCTCTCCGCGGCATTGCTCTGTGGTGAGTATACGGGAGTCCTCATGTGCTGTACACCGAAACCATCGATCATCTCCTCAAACGCCTTGGATACGAACTGTTTGCCGTTGTCCGAATGTATTGTCTCAGGCACCCCGAACTTGTAAAATACCTCGTTTACCAGGAAATTTACAACGTTCGACGCCGTCGCCTCCTTCATCGCCTTTAAGAAGATGTACTTCGAGAAGTGGTCCACCACGATAAATATCCAGGCGTGTCCACTCTTGGACCTCGGATACTTGCCCAGGAAGTCGATGTACAGTTTCTGGAATGGCCTCTCCGTCTCTACCCTTCTTCCGATTCCGACCTGCATCCGGAAGTTTGGCGCTTTGGATTCCTTGCAGACCTCGCAACTCCGGACGTATTCCCGCACCTGGATGGTCATCCCTGGCCAATAGAACTGGCGTCGCAGGATCTCTAAGGTCTTCGTCATCCCACCATGGCCAGCCTTGGGGTCCGAATGAGCACGCTCTAGCAAGCTGTGCGTCAGGCTTTGCGGAATCCACAGCTTCCATTCGGATCCTTCCAATTCCTCGTCCATTTTGGGGTTACTCATGCGCTTGAAGATGAGTCCGCCATCCACCTTGAGGTCCGGTAAGTGCTCCCTGTTGGCCTCCACGTCTTGCACTAATTCCTTATAGTCCTCCGCAGCAAATTCGGTCGTCTCGAATCCCAGTAACTCCGTTGGATCTATCCGGACTTCCTCGATGATGCGGGATAGGGTGTCGGCGACTACGTTCTCGCTGCCTTTGCGATGTTCGATGCTGAAATCGTAGCCCTGCAGCTGGAGAGACCACCTTGCGAGTCGTCCGGAAAGATCCTTCATTGTCATTAACCACTTAAGGCTGGCGTGATCGGTAATGCATGTGAAGGGCATCCCTTCCACATACGGTCTGAACTTCCGAATAGCTAGGATGGCCGCCAGACATTCCTTTTCCGTGACCGAGTAGTTAACCTGGTGTTTGTTCATCTTGGCCGAGAAGAACGCGATGGGCTGCTCGTCTCCGTCCTGGTTCCGCTGAAACAATACAGCGCCGACGCCAACGTGGGATGCGTCGCACTGGATGAAGAAATGCTTCTTGAAATCCGCATGAACCAGGACCGGCGCGCTCGTCAAGGCCAACTTCAGGTCATCCACTGCCTGGGTGGCGCTGGGACTTAGGGAAAACTTTGTGTTTCCAGCCTTCTTCAAGGACTCGGAGAGTGGTGCAGCTAGCGTAGCGAAGTTCTTGACGAACCGTCGATACCATCCCGCTGTGCCGAGGAAGGCACGTACTTCCTTCATGGATTTCGGGTAAGGCATCTTCTGGATTGCCGTAACACGTCCAGGATCCATCCGCAGCAGTCCACCTCCGACTATAAACCCTAGGTAAGTCAACGATTTGAAGCAAAACTTCGACTTCTTTAACCCTATGGTCAATCCGGCTGATTTCAGACTATGGGCTACCCGACGCAAGTATTTCAGGTGCGTCTGAAAGTCTGGAGCCAGGATCAGCAGGTCGTCCAAGTAGACGAAGACGTTGGATCTGAGCTCCGCTGGTATCACCCGATCCATGAGTCGCACCAAGCGTTGTGCCGCGTTGCACAGTCCGAACGGCATCATTCGGAATTGGTACAACGGCCTGCCTGGAACCGTGAACGCAGTGTACTCCTTGCTCTTCTCATCCAGTTCGATCTGCCAAAACGCAAACTTCAGGTCAACGCTGGAGATGTAATGCGTCTGATCTATTCTGGAGAGGATTCCTTCTATGCTGGGCAGAGGGTATGCATCTTTGATAGTCAAGGCGTTCAACTTCCGGGCATCCAGGCAGAACCGGTCTTTCCCTGGCTTCGACACCACTGTTGTGCGATTGCTCCACGGGCTTTTGCTCTCCTCGATGACACCCAGCTCCAACATCTTGTCGATTTCGTCTTCGACCACCTTCTGCTTCGCCGGAGACATCGGATACGGACGATCCTTAAAGACCCGAGCTCCTTCCATCAGCTCGATGGAATGCCTCTCCATGTTGGTGACTCCGAGGCCGTCCCTCTCAAAGGTAAGGAACTCCTCCTTGACTTTGCCTAACGCCAGCTTTTCCTCCGCAGAAAGGCTCCAGGATTCGGGTTCCTCCCTTACCTGGTCCTCATCTTCCTGGTCGGCATAGTGCTCCATCTGGCTGGCATGGATTTCCTCCGCTGCCTCGACGCCTCTCGTCGCCGGCTTCCCCACGACGGCTGGAGCTAGTCCGAAGGCTCGCCAGAAGTCGACTCCGAAGTACGCCGTTTGTTCCAGGTATGGGCACAGGTAGAACGTGACCGGCTTACTTACGCCTTTGTACCTCACAGGCAGCTCCAAGCGTCCGATGATGGATCGATCTTCGCCAGAAGCCGTACGGACTACCGAAAAATACGGTTGGACGGTAACTCCCAGCGCTTCCACGAGCTCTCGACAGCCTTTGCCCAGCACACTTACGCTAGCGCCTGTATCCAACAAGCCGGTGAGCTGCTTGCCCAAGGTCTCCACGTCGGCGAAGGGTCGAGGATCAGCGGAATCAATGCGCTTAACGGCCGCCACCACCTCTCGTCGTCTGGATCTCCTCATCCTGAAGCGCTCCCTTGCCTTCTGGACTCTCCGTGAGACCAGGCGCATGCCGCTCAGCTGATGCTCCGCAAAGATCCGGTTCCGTGCCTCCATATAACGGCGAAGCCTCTCATCCTCCGGTAGGTATCTTAATAAATACTTATTACTATTAGATGGACTATGTACTTTCTTTTCTTCTTCTTCTTTATTCGGCACTACTTCGCGGGATTCCAACCTGGGCGAGTCCCTCCCGCTTTCGGACTGCCCAGCCGACCGTTTTCCGCGCAATCGGGACATTTCGGAGAAATGACGCCCGGCTTGCCGCACCGGAAACAAAATCTCCTCCACTCCGTGGCTTCGCAATCTTGGAATCCGTGCTCCGCAGCCCCGCAATTCCAGCAACCTGGCCTAAATGGATTTCGGACTCGCCCACGTAGCTCGTCCACCTCCAGGTGTCGCTGCTCGTCGACTTCATCCTGTACGTGTGCCTCGCTGACCCGTATCTTGTTCTGCTGCAGGTAAGCAGCACGCCCTCGACGACCGAAACTCCTCTCCACTTCGACGCACTCTTCCCGAAGTTCGTCCACCGTGAGTACGTCCATCGCGTAAACATATCTAGCGATGCCATCCCTCAAGCCCTTTTTCACCACCTTAACCAACTGCCGCTCTGGCATTGGTTTTTTCAGGCGTGAGGCGAGTTGCTGCATCGAGTGGATGTAGTCATCCGCACTCTCTCCCGGCTGTTGCTCACGTTGTAGGAGCTCGTGCATCCTTTCGTGTTCCGTCTGGTGGCCACGGAACCGATCCATCAGAGCCCTGCGCAGCTGGGCCCAAGTGTCCACTCTGGACTGGCGTACGTGTACCCAGTACCACTCCTTCGCTCTGCCCGATAGGAGTACGTGGAAGTTGCGCAGAACTTCACTCCACGGACACTGATGCTGCCGCTGCAGGAACTCCAGACGGAACACGAAGTCGTCCACGGAATGGCCATCGTCCTCGCCGCTGAAAGAGAGGTTCCAGCGGTCCACTCTGATGTAGTGGTTCCCGTTGCCGGCTCCAGCGTTTGCGTACCACCGCGGCTCGTCCCGAAAATCCACCGTCCTTCGGTCCTCGCGCCACGGCCGTGCATGGCGATCACTCCTGCCTGTCGGATGGTACTCGGGTTCCTGGCTCAGGCTGCTGTCGATCCCTGGAGAGTCATTTACCGGCAGTCGAGGTCGCTGCCTGGGTGGTAATTCCGGTGGTCTTCGGTAGCCTCCTCCTGACTCCTGCCGCTGCTGAACTTCCGCTGGACCATTTGCGCCGCCTTCCGGACACGACGGAGTGGGCACCATTGACCCTTGGCGACTCGCGCCCTCCTGGAGCGGCTGCGGTTTGCTCTCGGCTGGCCTCAGGACGTCGTTCAACAACTTCATCATGTCGATGAATCCGTTCCTGATTTCGTCCCGCAACGCCTGGCTCACTCCTACCTCCTGTGACGCGCGATAGGTTTGGGCAGCCTGTGCCAGAGCTGCGTTCATCGCCGACTCCGCCGCTGTATCCTGTCCCAGGCTTAGCTTTTGGGGACTCTTCTGCTCCGGACCCAGAAGTTGATCCTGCGCCTCGACGATCGCCTTAAAATCCAGGACCCTGGGCGACCGATGGTGCAGCAGGTCCGCCGGTTGATCCCTAACCCGATCCTCCGCACTACCGCCTACTGGCGTTCTGGGTAAACCCCCAGCCAGCGATATCCGCGGCAACCCAGCGGCACCCTCTACGTCCGTGGACCAGACATCGTCCTTGTCGTCGCCAGGAGGACCCATCGACCTGAGCTGGTGACCGTGCTTATCCCTGACGTCCTTACCCTCGGACATGTTTCCCAAGAATTTTGAAATAAATACTTAAGAACTACTAATACGATAATAAATATGATAAATAAATAAATAAATAAGACAACAAATAAATACAATAATAAATAATATAATAAATAAGAAAATAAATACGAAAAGAACTAATAGCAAAAATAAATAACAATAAACAAATCTTCCTCACTTTCCAACTCCTTTCCAAATCTCCTATTTTCTTGTATTATATTTTTCCTCCTCTACTCTTGATTTGGGGAGATGGAACTGACCCTCGCCGGTGGGCTTCCGACCTAACTGTCTTGCGCTTTTTCCAAAAATCCTATTTTCCCGTCTCCGCCTAGCCGTTCGTCAACTGGACTAGCTATCACCCGTGGTGATAGCCGCCAGTTAAGGACATCGGCTGGTTTGGCTCCTGTTGGCTTTTCTTTCCCGCCCTTTTTTTCTATTTTAAGTCGAGGCAACCGTGCAGCGCGTAGGGTTGCTACGGGTCACAATTACGCAATTAAGTTCACAACCGACATAAAATTAGAAGTCCAGGACGGGGAGAAAAACCCAGGAACACCACATCCTAACAAAAAAAAACATTTCAAATAGGTAAATAACAAAATACAAGCCTTAAAACTACTCTATCACAGAAATTATCACAGATTCTCGTCAGTGCATCCCGTGATGCAAATCTTGGTTTGCCCCAAGATGCCATCACCGGTTCACTGGTAAACCTGTGACCAGGAGCAAATCGTCGGCAATGTCGACGTGCCTCCCGTTCTACTTCCAACTTCCCTACTCAGCTGACTTCCCCGTCACCACTCCCTAGCAATTGCAATCTATGTTGCAAGACATAGGTCGTGATGGCGGGGGCGTCAGGGTCATAAATGAGCGAGACGTCGTCGCCTCGACAATTTATTTGTTTAAATTGGGCGCCAATATGTTATGAACTGCTTTTTGTCGGTGGCAGTGCCGCTAGCTCAGTCGTTCCTCAGGGCAGAGTACCCCTAATGCCACAGCTCGCAACATAAAATCGATAACTTCACGGTCTCACATTACTAAACTATCGGTCATCACTAAGACCAAAAACAAAAACATAAACAAAGCAAAAATTTACAAATATTGACGGGAAAATGGATTACATTTGGTGGCTATCGGTGACCTAGCCAAGCGCTCCCACCCAACCATGGGTGCCCTCGAGATGCTGCAGGGCACCACCCATTCTCTGTCGGCAGGAGCCCCCTCCTCGCGACTACGGCGGTTCCATCTCCCCCACTGGGAAAGATTACTCACACATCGTGTGTATTACAAAGGTTTTAATAAATATGGTAAGTACAATCGTTCATATACATTCTCCTCTTAATAGATTTATCCTTCCTCAGCCTCTAAGACCGAAACCTGGCCGCCGTCTCAGATATTTACGCGGTCAAAGCAGAGGATTCGTTTTCCTGGAAAAGGGTACAGGCGCCGCGGAAACTATGCTCTACCAGCCATGTATTGGTAGAGCTCGCAGGGAAACGCGGGCCTCAAGGGAACAGGCGCGATGCGCGTGTATATGGTCACCTAATCCTGAGGAGCTCCAGGGGAAAAGAAGGGACAGGCCAAAAAGGTACGTAACTGCACTGTAAACTATACCATTTAACTAATGCTCGCGACCTTTTTAATTTTAGGCAAACAACGAGGACAAATAAGGCTCTCGGGTCTAACTCCGGATAAACTCACAAACAGGTAAGTAGATATCACTATATATAATCGAGGTACACGTGTATTTAATTTCTGCTAATTTTCAGCCACTGTTGGGCCGGGCCTGGAGGCGATGATAGCCCGGGCGGAAGGCTTCTCGCCGGAGGCCAGCAGTGATCCGGATCTCCACACAGGAAAAAGGCGCTCTCCGGTGAGTTATGCAATGACAGTCCGAGATTCGGCTGCCAGACAAATGGCGATTCTTCTCAGAGCCGCAATGCGACCGCTGGAAGTTCCCGAGAGGAGGATGACGCGGTATTCCGGAACGGACTCACCGGGAAATGTGGACGTCGTCGTCGACTGGGAAAGGCCCTTCTTGCTGGTCGCTGATACGGGTCGAACGGACACCGTTTGCTGTGCCGCCAATTCGGGCTGGCAGGTATGTCGAAGTCGCGCAGATGTCAGCAGATCTCCAATTAAATTCTTCCGGGGCCCTTTGTATTGGGACCCCGGCTGCCTTTATAAATGATAAATATTAAATCCCGAACTACTATAGAACTTTCACATAACTCACTTTTTAATTTAAGGCACAAAGAAAATTTTTACTAGCACTCCTAGCTGCATCTGCCTTGATTGCTGGACAGTATGGCCGCGACTATCACGCTATCTGCTGATCATCGCCCCCCCGCCATATTACATGGCCTCTCTCGTCATTGGGTCATTGGATACATGGGCCATTTGAAGTAATCCCAGAGCGAACCGGGATTAATCTTCAAATGGCCAGATCGCCCGCCAGACTCATCCCGCTGCTGCAGCTATCGCCCTATCGACCTAAACTATCGATAACGTCGCTCCCACTCGACTCCAATTGCAACAACTGAGTCGATCTAGCCATGTCCGTCTGTCCGTGTGACGCTGAAATCTCGAATACTATAAATGTTGGGACTTGGCATGCAAATTCGTTGGCTTCCTGCGCAGCGCAAGTTTGTTTCAGCAGGGTGCCACGCCCACAAACGACTATAACACTAACATTTTTTATGAGATTTTCTTCTTATTATCAATACCCATCTAGAAGTCAAATATTATAAAAAACGGATTAGTCGGACCAAATAAATATTAACATTTTACAATTCAATCGAGATAGCACACCACATGCAGCAAATCAGCTGTTTTCACTGAGTAATGGGTATCTAATAGTCGAGGCCATCGACTAAATTTTTGGTTAGTATATTTAAAGCGTCTTTTTGAATTCTTAGATCAGATATTTTAAGCTTGGCATAAAAAAATAACTTAAAAATCGAAATCTGATTTGGTACCTTTCATAATAAATTATTAACATATAATATATGATATTACGTCATATTTTAGGAGGTAGCCTTTTTATTGGATCTGCCGCGACCTTGTTATTTTTTAAAAGACGAGCATGGCCCGCAGGTGTTGGAGCTGGCTTTGAAATTGAAATGAAAATGATTTCATTTCTTTGAAGTGAAGATAATACCATGTAAATTCAAAAAAACCATTTATTATTGATTGACTATTTCTTTAATTAGATTGCTCCGATGGGAAAAATAAACAAAAAGGTCGTTCGTAGGACATGTAAAAAAGCGCGCGGTTTTCATTGTCTCTTTCATTTCTTGTCCGTTGCTTTTTTAATTCTGAAAGGTGAAGTTCGTGCCACGTGTTTTTAAATTTTTTTTTTCGCAGTATGGCACTAATTTTCATTAATATTTTCACTGGTAAGTTATGTTTAGATAATGTAGTTTAATATGAACACAAAAGAGTAAAACTGCAAAGGCATAAGTACATGTTGAAATTTGTTCAAATGTTCAAATGTGCAAAAGTCACATGATAACTGTGCACGTACATGTTTGCATGAATGTATGTGTACGAGAAACAGACGCACATTCCAATGGTCTGTTCTTTTGCTCTCTCGATATTCTCGTTTACTTCTTTTCGATCATAAAATCTATATGTGCATTATTATTTATTCTTTGCGGGTGGTCTGCATAATACTTAATTGTATTATATTTATTTATTATCAAAACCATAGGTTATGGGCCCAGACACAATTGCAATAATTAAATAATAGTGCTTTGATCGTTCCATTGTGAAAGTGCATAAACCCAGTCGTAAGTTGCGGAACGTGTTTTAAAAAAACATAGTTCTGGGTCGTACCTTTTTTACGCAAAACAGCACGCATGCAAATTTTCCAAGGCAAATGTGCGTGCTGGGTGCATTCTATTGCGGTGCCTTCTATAAGTGTTTCAGAATAATGCATCCAGAAGCATGCCCAAACACCCGTTTCGGGAACGTATTCCGAAAGAAATAGTTATGGGTCGTATCTTTTTTACGCAAAGCAACACGCGTGCAAATTTAACTAGCAACTGTGCGTGCTGGGGGCAGTCTTTTGGGTGCCATCTGGGTGTATTTTAATATAGTGCATCCAGGTGCATTTTAGTGGGAATGTAAAAAAACCAAACTCAAACCCGAAGGTTGCCGATGCCCATTTTTTTACAATCGTCTTTTTTCGAAACTGTTCTCTTGACAAACAAATAATAAAGACAAAAGGGAACATGCAAGGAAGCGAGCGGTTTTTCATGCCTCTTGCATTTCTCGTCAGTTGCATTTTTAGTTCTGAAAAGTGAAGTTCGTGCCACGTGTTTTGAAAAAGTTTGTTGCTTTCTGCCACCAATTTTACATCAATATTTTCACAGGTAAGTAAAGTGTAGATAATTTAGTTCAATATGAACACAATAAAATAACACAGTACATGTACACTGAACATTCAAACTAAAAATATATTAAACAAATAAAATAATAACTATTTTTATGTAAATTTTACATACAAAATAAACATATTGTATATTTGTAATGTATATACACATATTTCAAAATATATAATATTCAATTTGCTTTATATTTTTTTAGAATCGCAAAAAATGATTGGGCACATCAAGGACTGAACTGCGTAAATGACAAAAGTACATAAACAAGAAGGAAGCACCAAAGCACCGTGCAGAAGGGGAGTTACTCCGATTAGAAATTAGTTGCGTTCTTGAATATTGAAATGAAAATAAATATGAAATTGAAATCCAGTTTTATGTATTCCTGGGGAAAACTTCCAGATATTTGGTTTTTGAATGCTTCTAGGTGCATTCCTGGGTACATGTTACAGGTGCATTAAAAAAGAGTACACCCAGAAGGAGTTTAGTATGTTGCTTCCAGGTGATGCCATTTCATAATGAAAGAACGCGTGCTGGAATGCTGTCATTTACGACTGGGGCAGTGACATGGCTCATCGCAAAAAGCTTTTTTTGTTTTTTTTTGTGCCTAAAACGCTGTGCCGCTGTTGACGTCAGCAGAGCAGTCGGCGCAGCGTAGAACACTGCCCACGAAAACGATCGTGCAACAAAGAGAGGCAGATATTCGGATATTTCCCTCTCTTTCTTGTCTTATAATCTGCCTGCACTCCGCGCTCGCAGAGACAAATTTCGGCTGGTCCGTTATTTTTTGTTTGCGTCTCTCCGTTATGTTCGGCTAGCGACTAATATTTCGGCGGAAAATTTTTCGTGGAGCAGCGACATGTGAATGCCCTAATATTTTAGGAGCATTATTGTGTATCGAAAAAAAAACTAATATTGTTTTATAAAAGTAAACTATTTGATTATAGTAAAATTTAGTATATTGAATTTACTTATAATGTTATATTTACTTATTATACATTTTTATTACAATATAATTTTTTAGTTAAGTTATAGAAATTTAGTCCGTTAAAATTGATTTAAGTATTTAAAACATTTAAGTATTAACATTTAAAAAAAAAATCGTATTGTATTTTTTACTCAAGAAGTAAAAACTATATAGTCGGATATATAATTCACTTTAGAAAGGGAAGAGAAAACAAAAGAAATCTAGTAAAGGGGTGAGAAGACTTGGTGCATTCTGTTTGAGTGATTGAAAGGGAAGCATCCATTTTAATGGTGCGCAGCAGAGTTACTTTAATCGTTTAGTTAATATAATAAAGTCAGGTAAGTGCTACATTAAGTTTAAGATGTTGTGCATTGATCTTAGTTTAAAGTACGTAAATTTTGAAGGTATTCAATGGGTTCCGTTAGCCGAAAGTGGATGACGAAATGTTTTGTGCCAATAAAAATCCAGCAAAGGGTTAAACACAGCTATAAAAGGTAAATATACAATTAAACAAATAAAACGCATTTTTGAAACATATGTTTTTTCAGGAGCGTTGGCCAAGGATTCAGAGGACCCGTACAAAGGTTTAAGAACATAAAAACAGAAACAATAATTGTACAATTTTTGAAAATCTAAATAATACCATATAATTAAAATGAATTAAAATGAAATTAAATATGTATGTATTTTAAATTTTATATTTTTATAATTGAAAACTCAAGGAAAAATTCTGATTTTCACAAGTGATTCACTTGGGACGTGTCCCTTGCAAGTGATTTCACAAGTGAAAACTCAAGGAAAAATTCTGATTTTCCCAAGTGATTCACTTGGGACGAGTCACCGGCACGTGACAGGCCATACGAAAAATGAGTATAAGGAACAAGTGAAATCCCGTAGGACTTCGAAAAATTTTCATTTGAATTTTCACTTGTGAAAATGCCGACATCCCATACAATTTTCTATATGGAGCGTCACTTGCTCTTCACTTGTGCACGAGGACATGTCCCAGGTTATTCCCAAGGTGATTCACAAGTGAAACTTTTTTTTTGGAACTGAAGGGCATATACATATGTACATGTACATATGCGGAGCGGTCCCTGAACAACAAGGTGCGATTCTTGAACAATAAGTAATATTAAATTGGTTTTATTTATTTTGATAACTAACGCTGCGACAAATTCGCTGCAAAACATTTTTCTATTTCCAGGAAAAAGCTACATACATATAACCAATTTGGAGTGATATTTCTACAACACATTTCAACGAATTCGCCGAGAAATCTTTCAAGAACACACACAAACGCTTCGATAAATTCGCCGCAAATCTTTACGTTGCGACGGGATAGTGTTGACATTCGAAATTGCTGGACAGTGTTGCCAGACAGGGCTGCTGCTGAGAGACATTGTTGCTGTTCGAAGTTGCTGGACAGTGACATCCATAAGTTCTATCATTTTGTATGCCAATAAAGTGTCTGATTTGACGTAAATCGGTCAATTGAAACTTATAATGAAGGTAAGATTTAAAATTGGACATCGTAACAGACTTGTTTGTAGCAATAACTACATCATCCACATACAACCAGATATATATATTTCTCGAAATATCTTCCTAGTCCAATATATAAATACACCGATCAACTCCTAAGTTTGGAAATCTAACATCCTTCAACACACTTTCAAAAATTTCGGTCCAACATCTATCATCTTGCTTAAATCCATATATAGCTTTATTAAGCTTACATACTTTATTCGCATAAGAACGATACAGGCCTTTTAGAACATTCATGGAGACTTCATCCTTTAGAGTTCTGTATAAAAATGCAGTTTTTACATCCATATGGTGAACCATTAAATCGTATTGATTTGAAAGTGCCAACGAAAATCTAAAACGGCAAATTCGTGCAACTGGTGCAAATGTCGCATTGTAATCAGTCATATATTCTTGAGTGAAGCCCCGCGCTACAAGTCTTGCTTTGTACTTTACTAAGTTCCCAAATTCACCTTGTTTTATACTAAATACCCATTTGCAATCAACTATGTTTTTATTATCTGGTCTTTGCACTAAGAAGCAAGTATTATTTTATAAATGGGAATTAAGTTAATCTTGTATAGTAGACTTCTGCGTGAATGCATCCAAAACGGCAAATGAATAACTTATTGTAGAAGTGGGCACACTTTTTTTTCTGCAGAGTATATTTGGGTGTGAGAGAGTAGGGTACTATTGTCTGTTTTGATTGAAAGTGTTTTCACTCATTCCATAGTTGTGCAGCTGTTGATGAGAACAGCAAAGTTGGTGTGCGGTAGTAAACGCGTTAGAGTGGGCATTAGAGTGGGCGTGGCATATTCGCGTAACAAACTTGCGCTGCGTACAAGTCTACGGAATCTAAATCTGAAATCCCATTTCTCTATCTTTAATAGTTTCCGAGATATAAGCGTTCATACCTACGATTTTTAAAAGTTTGTGAGCTTGTGACTTTTTTTGGGTCAATCGATAGGTATTGATGAGAGCAATACATTTCAGTTAAAATTTATTCTAGCATCAAAACTGTAGGAGCCACAGCTTTGGGTGGCTTGTGGGGGTTAGAGTGGGCGTGGCACTCTGCTGAAACAAACTTGCGCTGCGTAAGAAGCTCAGGAATCTGCACGCCAAATATCAATAGCCTCTCTCTTATAGTTTCCGAGATCTCAGCGTTCATCCGGACAGACCGACGGACAGACGGACATGGCTAGATCGATTCGGCTAGTGATCCTGATCAAGAATATATATACTTTATGGAGTCGAAAACGCTTCCTTCTACCTGTTACATACTTTCTGATGAATCTAGTATACCCTTTTACTCTACGAGTAACGGGTATAAAAATGCAACTGACAAAAAATGCAAGGGACACGAAAAACCGCGATTCCTTGCATGTTCCCTTCTGTCTTTATTATATGTTTGTCAAGAGTGCAGTACCGAAAAGAAAGATCGTAAAAAAACGACCATTAGCAACCTTCGGGTTTCATGATTGTGACTTACATTCCCAGAAAAATTAACCCGGTTGGGATATACCAGAAAAAATACGAAATTCCGCGAGGGAATTTCGATGAACGCCCTTAGCCGCTGCGCAAAGAATAAAGCCTAGTACTCAGATCGGCTAAGAGTTTCACTAGTCGCAAAATCTTATTCTTTGTAGAGTGACCGAAGTTTTCAAAGTTCACGCGCAATTCATGTGGCATGGTCTTACTGTCAAGCAGCTGGGCTTGTTGCCAACCGGAAAACAAATCAATTTAAAAAAGAAGAGTCTGCTGGTGCACAAAGAAGTTAAATTAAAAACAAATGAAATGCTCAACGAATGTTTTTATTTATGTAAATTAGAGTTAGTTAAAGGCTTCCTTCTCGTCCCACGGACGCTTCGCTATCTTTCCCGCGCCATCTGCAGCCCAGCTCCGAGTCCCTATAGGCTGGCCAATATTGGCTGGAGATGGCTCCTCCAGCTGTCCCTTAGCGGGCGACCATATTTTCTCCTCACGCTTTAGCTTGCAAGTAGCTGGTGGAGGTGGAGTCCTCAATGGAGAGCTCGTCGGAGATCGAACGATGTCCCATGTTCCTTCCCACTGGGATTCTTTAGTGGATCTCCTCCAGCGCTTCAACTATCCTGCGGATTTGGCCCGTTGTGGTATTGCTTCCTGTCGGTCAAGTCCCACAACAATGGGCAACAGCTTGGATTAGGGGTCCTTTTTCATCTGCACTGACCTCCTTTAGCCGTTTTTGGTGTTTTTCTTCAATTTTTAATTTTTAAGTTCCCCACCGCTTCTGCACGAACACCGCCAAAGATTAAATTTCTTATTCTTTGGGCCGCAGCTAACGGCGTTCATCGAAAATTCACTCGCGAAATCTGGTATTTTTTGTGGTATTTCCTTAGGTCATCTGAGTACCCCGCTGAAAAACAGACCCGACGAAAACCTTTAGCCGCCTGTTTGCCTCTCGCTCACTTCTATGGTTAGCTCGCTGTTTTCGTCGATCTGAGTACTAGGCTCAAAGAATTTAAATTTTCGTTGTGTTCGTGCAGAAGCGGTGTTAAAACGAAAAATTAAAAATGGATCGCAGAACCCAAAACGCCTGCAGGAGGTCAGTGCAGATTAAAAAGGATATATAATCCAAGCCTTATTCAAGTTGGGACTTGGCCCTCAGGAAGCAATTCCACAGCAGGAAAAATCCGCAGAATAATGGAAGTCCTGAAGGTAATCCAATTGAGAAGCCCTTTGAGAAGGAGCATGACGAGTGCGACTTTGCTCCCTACATGGACATCCTGCCGGACGGGTCCCCGCAAAGAAAGTAAGTCCTGACCAAAAGAATTTGGTTACGTTGCACTAATACAGTGACGAACCTAAGTGTTGGCACACTTAGCATCTCCAAGTGCGCTTTTCTACCTCTATAAATGGTTATCAAATTCAACAAAATTATTTTGTATAAATGGAATTATTAAAATCCAATTAATTTTATTTCACTGAACTATCTCTTAAAACTACATTTTTAAAATTAAGAAAGCAAAAAATAAGCGGGTGTTAGGTTAAACTAGCGAACCCTTTAGCCACTTGAAATTATTATTATTTCTCATAAGAAGATAAAAAGGTCCCAGAAGCCATTTGGGATACTTAGATACCGTTTTTCGATCCATAAATGGTTATATTCTTGACCTTTATTATCAGTTGGTTTGTTCTAGCTGCATAAAACTTGCACTTAGCACTTGACATGGCCTTTCAGAAGGCTACTTGGTAAGTATCCTTGCCAAAGACCTTCTTATCCTAAAATTAGAGCAGTGCTGAGTAGATCTGAGGGTTGTCATTATCCATTTATGTAATCCATTCGCCTCCCTGGCTGCTTAATGTTTTGTATCGTCCTATGAGCCATGCATTTTTGCATGGCTAGAGTCCTTTAGAGCGCCATAAAAGACTCACAACGAATCGGCTTCAGGGCACCCATTCACAAATGTTAGTATACAACTGACCCTGATCGATTTTATGATACTTATTTAGGATAATACCACTTAAGATATAGAGACAAAGCGGATTTGGCAAAAAAAAGCAACCAAATCAACGAGCTGGAGGATAAATTGCCGGGATGCTAGGCGACTTCCTACAGCATCATCGAAACAAGCCTATTGAAACTCTTAGCCGATCTAAGTACTAGGCCTTAACACGTGAATATGATGTTGCTTTGGAATTCAGAGTGACCAACAAAATAATATCAAATTATCGCAATTTCGATATTTGGGCAAACAAAAAATCACTATAAAAATACATTATTTTTAGATTATTTTTTTTAAATTATCAACAATTCTAGTAAATGGTAATGGTGAGTAAAACAAGGCAATTTTACGAAAAATCAACAGGAAATTTACGCAATCACTTAAAGGTAAGCGTGTTGTTGAGTAATTTTTACTGAAAGTTTGTGGCCTTTGCGCACCGCCAAGCCTTAAGCCTAGTACTCACATCGACGAAAACCGTGAGCTAACCATAGGAGTGAGCGAGAGGCGAACAGGCGGCTAAAGCTTTTCGTCGGGTCTGTTTTTCAGCGCGGTACTCAGATGAGCTAAGGAAATACCAGAAAAAATACCAGATTTAGAGAGTGAATTTTCGATGAACGCCGTTAGCCGCGGCCCAAAGAATAAGAAATTCAATCTTTGGCGGTATTCGTGCAGAAGTGGTGGGGAATTTAATAATGAAAAATGGAAGAAAAACACCAAAAACGGCTAAAGGAGGTCAGTGCAGATGAAAAAGGACGCCTAATCCAAGCTGTTGCCCATTATTGTAGGACTTGACCGACAGGAAGCAATACCACAACGGGGCAAATCCGCAGAATAGTTGAAGTGCTGAAGGAGATCCACTAGAGAATCCCAGTGTGAAGGAACATGGGACACCGCTCGATCTCCGACCAGCTCTCCATTGAAGACTCCACCTCCAAAAAAAATAACGTCGCCCGCTTAGGGACAGCTGGAGGAGCCATTACCCGCCATTATTGGCCAGCCTATTGGGACTTGGAGCTGGACTACAGATGGCGCGGGAAAGATGGCGAAGCATCCGGGGGACGAAAAGGAAGCCTTAAACTGCTAATTTACATAAATAAAAACTTTCGTTGAATATTTCATTTATTTTTGTTTGTGCACCACCAGACTCTTCTTTTTTAAATTGCTCCAATTGATTTGTTTTCCGTTTGGCAACAAGCCCAGCTGCTTGGCAGTAAGACCATGCCACATGCATTGCCGGTGAACTTTAAAAACTTCGGTCACACTACAAAGAATAAGATTTTTCGACTAGTGAAACTCTTAGCCGATCTGAGTACTAGGCTTTAAAACCAAATTTTTTTGCTTTCTTGTACAGAAAACTACCATTTCAGATGGTGAGCTTAGTTGACCTTAAAAAAGTCCACCCTAATGTAAATAAAGTAAATCCAGCCTAAGTTTAATAATTTGAAAATGTAAGAAATTTTATATTTGTATGTATATTTCTAAATTTTTAGTACTAAAAAAGCTTGCAAAATTTTAGAGGGTTCATCCAACCAGCTACTCAGAGTATGAAAGTAAAAAAGTAAAAACTGTTGTGGAACATTCAAAGGAATCAAAAGAATCAAGGTCGTATTTCATTTTCCTGGGTTCAACACAAGTAATTAATTAAATAACAAAATGTAATACCTTAATTTATATTATTTATGTTTATTGAAATATTTGCAGGTCAATCAGAAAATTTGCGATTAAATCGTGCCGGAAATGTTGCCAATTTATTACGTCGAAAAGACATCTTTTTAGGAGCAGTTGGTGGACGTCCCGTTAATATGCCGTACTGAAAAACTATTAGGTCGATGTTGGATAAACGCCGATTTGAATATGAACAAGATATTAATTATATTCCTTTTGTTTGCATAACAGCTGATATATGAAGCGCCAACAACAAAAGTTTTTTAATGTCACCGGGCATCATATCGATTCCAATTTAGAGAGGCATGCGGTTGTTTCTGGCTTATTAAAGAGTACGTTTTTCTTGTACACATAAATGAATTGGAAAAACATTGTCAGATACTTATTCTTAATATGGGTTACTTAATACGGCGCTGTTACCGACAGAGCTTCAAATTTCAGCAAGGCTTTAAAGATACATTTGCAGGATCGAATTCTGTCCATCCGGAGGATTCAGAGGCCGATGATAGAGTTCCATTTATGTTTGTGAGGCAGGTAAAATAATTCTCCGAAAACATTTTAGATGCGCCCCCTACACCTTAAACTTAGTAGTCACTAAAGATGCAGAGAAGGCACTTGAGAACTACACATTTAAACGATTGTATTATTCATTTCTTGTAAAAGCTACTTCTTTGTGGAGCAGATCAACGGTTGCTGTAGATAAGATAGAAGCCAATTTTCATCTCAGACTTGTAGCTCGTTGCACGATGTCGTTCATTCATATCAATCACGATCTCTTTCCGCATTAAAAATGCCATATTTTACAGTAAACAAGTTAAATATCTTGGGGGAAATGAATTCCGTTACTGGTATTTTTCAAAACCCATAGCTCTATTACAGGTTGAAAATAGATGTTACCTTGGATATTTGTTGCCCACATTACATAGGATCATTCACTAGAAAATCTGTATGAACTGGAAATCTCTGACTCACTTTCAGATGCACTGAAAGCGAGTATTAATGAAAGTATTAAGGAATGGCCCTTTGAACAATGCTAAGAACATGAAGGCAATTTTGTTATTGACAGTGTGGTTACAAACGGTTCGGGGGAGTTTTAAAAAAAGATTTTGAGAATTACAAAGGTTATGTTAAAGAAAAAAACCTTTCAAATTACTTTACCTTATTTACCATAAGAAATATGATTTGTTGATGAAAAAAGAAAGAAAATGTTAATTGATTGTGCCTAACCGAAGTAGACACATCGGGGTCACACCGCGGGAAAAAAAGGGGGTTGTTACCGCCCCAGTACATTTTGAAACGTCGATTAATTTACATAAATTCATCGGTTGGATCCGACACCAATCAACATCTCGCCGACAATCGAAAGACCATACAGTTACAGTGCGATCCTCAATAGGAGAGGAAGATTTTTTAAAGCTCTTGATTTTATCTTGATTTTGTAATTTGATTTAACTAATAAAAACATCGGAGTATAAAGCAGTGCTGTTCGAAGCTTTCATTAAAAGGTCGGCTGTAACATTCTTTAAAAAATCGTAATATACGAGAGTACAAAGAAACAAAACACCACAAGTTGCTGCGTCTGAACAATAAAGTTCCGTAGTAACAATATTAAATCTAATCTAGTTCCAACAGCGGGTTAACTATTAATTGGTGCTCGACTGCGTCTTAAAAACAATAAAGTTCCGCAGTCCGTACATCAATAAAATAATATATATATAATATATACAATAATAATAATCGTGACACGAACTTAAACTGACAAATAGATTCTTGCGAAGACACTCCGCGTATTGGTGTTAGTGATTCGTGGTAAAAAAACCAAAAAGAACAAAACTATATTCTCATTCCACGGTTTGCCTTTCTGCCAACTAAGGCTGTGAGTAGGGGCACAGCTTGCGAAAGCAAATAAATTTTCCCCCAACAGGCAGAGAAGCTCAAAACCGAAATCAATTTCGCGAACAATTAAAAATGCTTCCACGGAGAGATGATGCCTCGGTATGCGGTGCTTGCAAAAAAGATCGACCCGGGATAGACATAATATGGGTTCAATGTGATAATTGCAAGACCTGGTACCATTTCTCTTGTGTGCGTGAAGAAAGCGCAAATAATCTTAAAGGCTGGGCCTGCCCTCCTTGCGACCAACTGCACATCAAGGCTCGGCCGCGCAGGGATTGCAAAAAGAGACGAAAATGAGTTTACAAAAAACACCCGGTTTAAACACGTCAACTAACGTTCTTATGTTACAGATGCTAGAGGAAAAACGAGAAGCTGAGCAGAGATATATTGAACAAAAATATAATATTTTGTCGCGCCAACATGATCCCAACATGACATGGACACCCACGACAATGGGCCCCAGCAGCGTTCAATTATCAGCTCGACAAATACTACCAGCTGATTTACTTACATTTAACGGAAACCCAGACGAGTGGCCCACCTTTATAAGCGCCTTTGAAAACAGCACTTCTGCTGCCGGCTTTTCAAATGTCGAAAATATGCTTCGACTTCAAAAATGTCTTAAAGGGAAAGCGTACGATCTAGTCCGAGACAAGCTTTTGTTGCCAACCATGGTTCCCTTGCCCTTGCTGTTCGCAACATCTGTGCTACCATGGAGTCGTGTCAACTAGATGCACATCTAAACAACCCTATGCTTGTTCGCGAGTTGGTTGACAAACTTCCAAATCAATATAAGCTGAACTGGGCAATGCACCCAAAAGGTGGATCCATAGCAAATGTAAAAGCATTTAGCGATTGGTTGTATAAGATCGCAGAAGCAGCCTCCACAGTCGTTTCAACATCAAACTCAAGGACAAATAATGTACATACTCATACCAGCTACAATGCGGAATCGGAGGAGACCCCACACGATTCCTACCGATCCGAGAACTCACCTTGCTGCGTATGCCAAAGCGCACAGCATCAAGTCGCTCAATGTGAACAATTCAAAAATCTCACTTACGAAGGAAGGCAACAAGTTGTTCGCGACAACAGGCTCTGTTTTAAGTGCCTGAAAGTTCATGGCCGTAGATGCTCTTTTACTAAAGCATGCGGTGTTGGAGGATGTTAGTCAAGGCATCATCCCTAACTTTACAAAGGCAAGCCCAATATCAACGTTGTCACGTCTCACCAAGTCAAGTCAGCAGAAGTTGAACAATATTTTCGAATCGTGCCAATACATGTCCAAGGTGACAATATTCAAGTTGACACCTTCGCTTTCCTGGACGAAGGCTCTTCGGTCACACTAATAGACGAATCCTTCTTTAAGCATTTAAACCAGTGGTCGGCACACACATACCATCACAAGTTTGCCTTGCATTAGTGTGAGTGTAACAAACACGAAGTTTGCGCGCGGCGTGCTGTAGCGAGACGTTTCTCTGCTTTGCACTGAGATCCTCTGCCGCAGCAACAAAAAAGCGCGCCGAAGTTGAGAAAAAATGACCCGAAGACCCATGCCGAAGTCACACGAACATGTACGTTATACGTGAGCGAGCAGAGGATGGGCAGAACACTTCCCTATGCTCACTAGATAGGCCGCTGCCGACCACTGATTTAAACATAAGTGGCACCCCCGAACCTATCTGTATGCAGTGGACCAATCAAACCACCAGAAGAGAGGGCAATTCCGTACGCTGCAATATTCGAGTCGCCGGGGCAGGCGCCACTAAAACATATTGGCTAAATAATGTCCACACTGTGAAAAACCTAGGCTTGCCAAAACAGACGATGAACGTACATGAATTGCGCATCAAGTTTCCACATCTAGATGGAATACTCCTACAATCTTATTTGAATGCCGAACCAATGATTTTTATTGGAACCAACAACTGGAAGCTCGCTGTACCACGAAGGCTCAGAGAAGGAAAATGGAATGATCCCATTGCCTCTAAGTGTATTCTCGGCTAAGGACTGCAAGGCTCCACAAGCTCCAAAACTACATTTTCCATGCACCACTGCCAGTGCAACTGGGACGAGATTGAAAAGAGCATTAAAGAAAGTTTTCGCGTTGAAACTGTTACTCCAAAGACGTTATGTTCCGTGGATGACGAGAAGGCCCTGAAAATATTGGATAAAACTTGTTCTAAGAATAAGGGACATTATCAAGTAGGACTTCTATGGCGCGAGAATAATCCAACTCTTCCGGAAAGCTACAACAACGCAATGAAACGGCTAAACTGTCTAAAGGCTAAGATAAGCCGAGAACCTGAACTTTTTGGCAAAATTGAGATGCAAATAAATAATCTACTCGAAAAAGGGTATGCATCCGAACTGTCCAGTGCCGAACTCCTTGAACAGCCCGAACGCGTGTGGTACCTTCCAATATTTATAACCCACAATCCAAATAAACCTCAAAAGGTCCGTCTCGTCTGGGATGCGGCTGCTAAATCCCACGGGAAGTCAAACAACGACTTCATGTATACCGGCCCCGATTTACTACATCCACTTACCGAAGTATTAATGGCGTTTCGAGTTGGTGAGATAGCTGTTTGTGGCGACATTGCTGAAATGTTCCACCAAATTCGAATCCTAGTTTTGTATGGTATAACAACGAAGCGCAAGTAATCAGAACCTTTGTAATGAGATCTATGACATTCGGAATATCCTGTGCGTCATGCATTGCTCATTATGTTCGCGACAAGAACGCGGAGGAATACAAGCTGCAAAGCCCGCGTGCGTTCGAAGCCATTACCAAGGCACACTACGTCGACGACTACATCGATAGCCTAGGCAACGAAACTGAAGCAATCGAGGTTACCCTTAAGGTCCGAGACATACACGCGGCTGGAGGTTTCAATATAAGGAACTGGGCTTCTAATTCACCCGAAGTCTTGAAACATTTACAGGGTGATTCCCTCGATCTACAGTCGCCAAAGGAACTCGGAGATCCAGAAAAAGTCCTCGGTATGTTTTGGGAATTAGCAACTGACATGTTTAAATATGTTTTCAGATTCGCACGAATGAAAAGAAACGTCCTTTCTGAAGAAGCCTTGCCAACCAAACGTGAGGTACTGCAAGTGGTGATGTCCATATTTGATCCATTAGGATTCTTATCCTGCTACACTATTGGCCTCAAAATGCTCCTTCAGGAAATTTGGCGCACAGGCATAGGCTGGGACGACATCTTACCAGGACCTCAGCTGAGTTTTTGGACGAAATGGAAAGACTTGCTACCCCAAGCTACAACTATTCAAGTACCGCGCCATTACTCGCCCTTACTTTGTATGGCAGATTTTGTTGAACTACATACTTTCGTGGACGCCAGTGAGTACGGATATGCCGCCGTGTATTACTTTCGGATAGGAAACGGGGATGATATCACCGTCTCACTGATGGCAGCAAAAAGAAAGTTTGCTCCCCTGAAGCCACTTTCCAT